TAATAATGTATTTGCTATAATTTGAAGCTGACAAATTTGTTTATTTTATCAAATCTTAATTTATATGGATTTTTTAAGTTTTTCTTCACAAACATGGCAGACTGATTTATGATCTTTTGAGATATTAAAAAAATAAAATAGTTATTGAAAAAAATTGTTACATTCAGAATTTATACAGGAATTTTAGGAAATTCAACAATTGTTTCATTCAAAGTCAGAAGGCATTGCCTTTATTTTGTACTAAATACATTGTGCTACTAAAGACATTATTGGAGCTGAAATTAGCAGAACCCAGCAATTAAATGTGCCCTGAACAAGTAGCAGGAAATGGTCACAGAAATTTTTCAAAGTTCAACTGTCAAAAGAAGAATGTACTCTCAACATAACTTAAAGGTTCATATAAGTGATCATAATTATTTATTTTATATATATATATATATATATATATATATAGAGAGAGAGAGAGAGAGAGAGAGAGACTATATATATATATATATATATATATATATATATATATATTGACTATGAAACATGGGTGCTATTTCAGATATTTATCCCTAAGTTCAACACATTTGGCAGTTGTTTCAAAAGATTTTATATAATAATTTTTTTATATAAGTCTAACATTTGTCCATGTCTTGAATATTGTTGTGACATTTGTACACTTGCTGTATATCTAAAGAGTTTTGATAAAATCCAATCAAAGAAGAATGAGCAATATTACTGGTCCTAACCTAGCATCTCAGCTTCTGACTTTCTCACTGACATAATGTTGCATCCCTGTGACTTTTCCATAAATACTTTCATGGTAATTGTTCTGATGATCTCTTTGCTACGGTATCTAGACTTTACAAATTTATGCGTAGTACTAGATTGGTGGCAAGGTCTCATTAATTCATAGTTGAATTGGCTATATGTAACTGTAAGTTCTATGCTAACAGCTTCTTTTCTTGCATGTCTTACTTGTGGAACTCTCTTCCAGGTCCATGCTTTCAAAAATTCAAATGCAATGTCAATTGTTATCTACTGCCCTCTTAATTACCCTTCTATTGTTCTCACTTGTTAATGTTTCTCTTTTTTCTTATTCTTTCACTCTGTAACCTCTTGTGTCTTAGTGGCTTTACTACCTTGCATGGGTTGATATGATTTTAAAAAAATAATAATGACTCATTTTTATCAATTACATAAAATGTGAATTTTTTTATTTATGTAGAGAATATCAAATTACGCAAATTCTTTGGTTGGTTATTGAAAATGTAGTTCCACCCAAAAAACCAAGATTAGAATGTCATTTAAAACTACTTTTTTTCTTTAGAATGAATAAGATTTAAATCAAAGACAGTTATAGGAAGCTCTGTTAGAAAACTGGATTCTGTTAGAAATTTGGATTGGGTAACAGCAGGAATTTTGCATATTTTCATTACTGTTGAATCTAAAACTTTATTCAGTACGCTAATGTACTTGATAAGAATAAAAATTTGAATATTTAATTTGTTGTAAATGTTGCTTCTAATGCAGCAAAGCATCCAAAGACATTAAAATAGAAGAGATTTCAAGTCTTACATTCACAAATTTTGCAAACTACTTTTTAATTCATTTTATAAAATCTTTGTGATATTCAGTCGGTAAAGAAAAACTCTTTTCCATTTTTTCTCCAATTTGGTTTTAAATAAACTTTTATTGAATATGTGTCAACTTAAATAGCAGCTATAATAACTAAATAAATACTAACTTTGATAAAATTTTAATAAAGGACCAAGTAAAAAAGAACTGTCAAAAGTACTCTTGACATCACTATTAGTGTATACTCCTTCAGTAATTTTTATTGTTTTAAAAAGCTATTTTTAGAATTTCAATAAAATCATATCATGGATTTATATTTTTTCTTGAGAATTTACAACAAATATGTTAAGCACTATATATTTATTAATTATTTATTAACAAGATTTTAAAATAAATATGCAAAAGCAATAACAATATTTTTATAAGATTATAGAATTTATTTTGTGAACTATAACAATAAATTTTCTTTCATTTGCACTTGCATATTTTCCTTCATTTTTTATTTGCTCTTGCCACAAAAAATTTGCTAAAATAGGTTGAGATCATCTCTTCTTCTTAAACAAACATTCTTTTAATTTTAGATTTTTGGCAAAAGCACAAGCACTCTATATTTTAAGTGTGTATCTCCCTATTCATTGGGAAAACAAAATTTACTTTGTGCATAATTACAGAATGTCTGTAATTTTAATGAGAGATACCACTGTATGGTGGCCAACTATATGAAATTGTTTGATTTTCTGGTAAAATAAAAAAAATTCTACAAATTACTTTTCTTTTAATTTTATGCAGATGATTCACTTATAATAATAATAGAATAATAGCCAACTAAACAGCCATCCTTGGAAAATTAAAACAAGAAATATTTTGAGGCAGTTATGATTCATTACTGCAAGAAAAAATGTATAAATTCAATTTCATATGTTATAGCTGCATTAAAATTCTTAACTTTTTAAAACAATACAAATTACTATGGGAGTATATGATAATAGTGGTGTCAAGAAAAAAAACATCCTTTTGACACACTGTTTTTTGTTTGATTCTATGTAAAGGTTTGCTCTAACATTTTTTTTTTAATGTCATGTTCCTTCAATTTTTCATATTGCTTTCTCTTCACTTTGGAATTCAGACTTTTCCTTCTCTTAGACTAAATGCTACTCAAAATTCTAGACAGCGCAGTCTACCCTGCTATCTAATCCAAACCTGGGGGTCGAGGAGAAGATACAGATTCATACACTTCCAAAGGATATTTATGTGAAAGTGAATACAACAGACTATCCCAGAATCTGATATTGGCTCATCGATTCCACCCGATTTATTGCACAACTAAATAATAATAATCATCTTTAAAAAATTATCAGCAAATTTCTTGGTAAGTGCAAAATGTTTTACTTTACAGGGAAAAATATCTATCATCTTCAACACAGGAATTTTCCTTTATAAAAATGGAAAATTGCTAAGATATACACAAGCACACCTAAATTAAGTTTACACCTTAATGGTGTGATGATGTCAAAAGCATTTATTTTTTATGATAGTCTTTTTCCTTGTTAATGCACTTAATTCTGTGGTGAATATTAATCACATGAATTGAAAAATATAAAGTGCAAATTTCATATAAAAATTCAACTAATATTTCTGTCAGGCTACAGACTTAATGACCCAACCTCATATACAACCACACATACATATGGTCATATACATATATATAGTAGTCAGCTAAGAGAATCAACTATTAACTGTTTTATCATCAACCATTCTTGAGCTACATTGTTTTTTTTGTTTCTCTCTCTCTCTCTCTCTCTCTCTCTCTCTCTCTCTCTCTCTCTCTCTCCCCCTTGTAATCAAAATCTGCCATTTCAACTGCTCAGGTTTTTTACATTCCTACACCCACATACTTGAAATAGCTATAACTACTTGTGGACATGCATACACTCAGGCTCACATAGATGTGCACCTATGCAAATATCTGTACACACACATCTGTATTGTTAAATGCATTTGGGAATACACACACATTTTGATATGTATTTTGTCATTCATATATATTTCCATTTTATATACACAGAGGAAACGATAATGATTATTATGGGGTTACCATTTGAAATTATGGCTTGGGTTTGCATATGAAGATTGTTAAGGGTCTCCAGTGACTATTGCAAGAATATGGGATAGTCCTCAAGGCAACTCTAATGAATTTTTTTAAGGTTGCAATAAATTAAAATTCTTTTGGGATATGTGCAGAGTTCAAATGCCTCCCTCATAAAAAAATTATTTTCTACAGAGACCACAGTAGCAGCAAAGAGCATTGGGAGCCTATGGCTCTATACTTTACAGAGGAGTCTGATGGCACTCAGGACAAGAAGGTGAAGGTGGAAAATTATTTATGGAGAGAAAGATAGGAATTAGAAAAATAAAAGAAAGGATGTAGCAGTAAATATTTGTGCATTCTTCATTTGTTTTTGCATAATTTTGTATAACATTTATATAAAAATAGATGGGCAATCAAGATTGAAATGGATAAGGTAGAAACTCAGAAGATACAAGCAAAGGAAGATTATTCATTATCTCATGCCAGAAGCATGAGATAATGGATAATTCAAGTTATCAACACTCATGGAATTTCCATTTGATACAATATTACTTTGATGACCTATCATCTGTTGACTTTTTCACACAGTTTCAAATGACTTCATTACACAGTAGACTTAATTTGGCATCAATTCACTCCAATGTCAGTTCCATGGGAGGACTTTTTAATGTCAGCAGAACTTAAACAAGCTGAATTAAAAAAGAAGTACAAAACTTCTGACCTCACTCATCTGGATATGTGAGCATTTAGAGCAGGAAATGGATCAAAAAGTAAATACTAGTCAGGCAAATTTGTGTCCTAAGTTTTCCCCATTTCAGTTATTAGAACAGCCAAAATTAGGATAGACCTATTCAGATACACAATTTTAACAGTCATTCAATATTCATTCACTCTTACTCTCATAGTTTTTATAACTGCATAACTAGTGGGATCACCATTTTATGTAGTGAATATTACTATGGTTGAAGGGATATTAGTGATAGGAGAATATTATGTAAGAGAGATAATGTAGTAATGGTATAGTGGTTGTATGGGATGTTTCCTGAAACAGGAGATAGAAATGAAATTACAAACATTGGTTGGTTGGTTGTTTTTGTTTAGTGCCGTATCAACCTCTATGATTTATTTCATACCAAAATTTAAATATTTTGTATGCAATTTTTTTTTGAGAGAGATCATAATGGTTTTAGGGATATAAGTTTTACTAATTAACCCATAGCTGGGGGAAAGGTGGATTCATAACTTTCCCAAGGGTATTTGCCTGTAAGTGAATACAATGAACCAAACTGGAATTGGAACTTAGTTCTCTGATTAACAATTATCCATTACACCATTCACACATCCAAACTTACAGCCCCTGGTATTACCAAGTGGTCACCCATCTACATACTGACCAGGCTCGATGTTGCTTAACTTCAGTGATTGCATGGGAACTGGTGTTTCAATATGATGTGGTCATAAGCCTAATTACAAATGGTATTGTATAATTAACAACATTTTATTACCTCAACAAGCTAAATGAGAAGAATATAAAAAAAAATAAATGTGTGATTACTGAGGTGTCCTTATTTGTATGTACATATTATGGGTTATCTCACTTGGCTTCCCCAAACACCCATTAGGTGATGTTGTTTAAGTTCTATAAAAAGACAAACATTTCCTTCCACTTCCACTTTCTTCCTCCTGTTCCAAGATGTATCAGATATAGATTAGGATGTCCCTGCTGGGACACATTCGTTTACCATTCAACTGACAACTAAACTCTTACACATAAGCATGTATCACACACACAATCAAGTACATTCTTAATAGCAAAGTTTTTAATGTTTTTTCCTTTCCTTTCAACTGTGTACACATTAATGTAATTTCTTTTTGTTAATACATGAATTAGTTGTTTGTTTAAAATTCATGTTTTGTTTCTTATTTTTACCCAGATGCATATGAGTCTGCCAAATATTGTTTATGTAGCAGGAGCCATTAAATATTTACTGAAGAACATCCACACATTGCAACAACAGTAGTGATTTCTGCAACAATGTTTTTAAAAATAGTTCATTGTTGGTTTGGTAGAGTTATCAGCTTTAGGCATTTGTATATTTTGTTGTGTACAATGTGACATATGGATCACTGTGAAGTTTCCACAGAAATGAAAATTCGTCTTGTGCCTATGGCATCTTGTGAGTGAAAAGAGAAAAAAATGGGAGAGAGTTTACACCCTTTTCTTTTATAGTGCTTAATTACAATGGCATCTAGCTGTTGTTAGGAGAAGTTCCTTAGCAGACAAGTGGGGTTATCCTACATAATCACTACTACAACAAATTTAATTTACCAATATGAGAAAAGAATCACTAAATAACCTGATTATTCTTTATTGATTGATTGATTTGTTTTCTACAGCTTATCAACTGTTTGCTGGTTATTTAAAGCCAGAAAATATTTTTAGATTCTAAGAATGTTTTTGGGAATAATAATGATTTAATGATACAAGTCTTACTAATTAACCAATAGCTGGGGGAAGAGGTGGATTTATGCCTTTCCCAATGGTATTTGCACGTAAATGAATATAAGAAACCTAATTGCAATTAGAACTCTGCTCTCGGATTCATTATCCATTACACCACATGCACATCAAATCTTACAGAACCTGATATTCCCGAGTCGTCACCCATTTAGGTACTGAACAAGCTTTATGTTGCTTAACTTCACTGATCGTAGGAGAACTGCGTTTCAATGTGACATAACCGTGAGCCCTGATTATTCCCATATCTTAGAAAACTGAGATAGTTGCTAGATGTTAAGATTAGCTTAATTTAGCAGATATATAGTAGTAAGGCACTTGTAAGGATTGGACTCACTTCATTAGGGAATGGATTTACAGGATATTCTTACTGACCATCATGCTAAAGTAGATGCATTTAATATTTATTAAATTTAATTCAGTAAGACACAAGGTCACAGAAGTAGGATACCTTCACTTTACTAGTGAATTGATTTGCAAGATGTACTTGCTAGCAATAGTATATGCCCTTAAGATTTTATCATGTATAACATAAGAACATTTATTCTCTATTCTGCAGCCTCTTTCTCACAGTTGTAACATTGCAAGGCTGTTATGAGTCTATGACTATGTCCATAGTAAATATTTAGATTAGCTCCATTCTTTAGTTCTATTAGTTCAGACTTTTACAGCTAGAACATGCGATGCTATTTCTGTAGAATCAAATCATCCTCATATTCTCCATATTCCAGATGTAAAAAGACAGTTCCATACAGACAGGTTTTCCCTAAGAATTGCCACTTTGTGGAATAGATTCCCACATGGTTACTCCCCTATATACTATAATCTTAACCTCTTCAAGTCAAAGGTCAATTGTTACCTATCCTCATTGTTCTCATAATCTTTGGATATGTAGGTAGGGTAATAGCAGCTTGGAATAAGAAATCTATCTCTTCATCTCCCAGCTATGGGTTAAATTGTAGAACTTGTATCTGGAAAAATCATTGTTAATGTAATATTCAATTGCAAAATACAATTATCCTTACAATTCAAAAAAATATGTTTAAGCTTTAAATAATCCATAAACTGTTGATAACCCATATGAAATGAATTTGTCAACATGTCCTCATAATTTTTACTTCTTACAGCCATCTCTTTCATTCAAAATGGATACCTCATTCATCATTATCATTTTAAAAGTAACCCTCTAACTTGAGTGGCTCATTGGATGAATTTTAGTATTAAAAAAATCATTATATTAAAAATAATCTAGGAATATTTGAGACAGTACTGTTTTATGACAATGAATTTAAATATTAATAAATTGGAGATAAAGAGAGGAAGAGGTGGTCAAATTCATTGAACTTAGTTTAAGGATTTTACAAGAATTTGAACTATGTCAATTTTATTGACCATTCTGTTATAATGCCTATTTCATTGTCTTTTTTATCTGAAACAAAATGAATGTAATTTATTTCAAGCAATCACCATCATCCTACAGTCTATCTTTATTTCATGATTGCACATATACATGTATATCAAACCTGTATACCCATCTGTTGGAATATATGCCAACAGTTTTATCACACTAGGTGTTGCAGCTGTGATTTCTTATTTCTATAAATATTATTTTTAGCGGGTACATATGTTTGAACTCACATCTCTGTTATTTTAAACAGTGAAATTAATATCAACTGGCCTAGAATTGGCACTGTTTAAAATAATAGGGATGTCTGCTCAAACAGTTACAGCTGTATCACATTGAAACACCAGTTTTTGTCCAATACTCAAAGCTAAGTAATGTAGAGTCTGGTCAGTAACTAAATGGGTGACCACTGATGAATACTAGGTGCTGTAAGCTATGTGATATGCCTAGTAAGCTAGCAATGAATACAATCTTGCTGCTTATACTAGCAGAAAACCTTGAAGCAATTTGAGTCATGTTAGAACTCAGATAGTTGACCAGTGGGGAATACCAGATACTGTAAGCTATGTGACAGGCCTAGCAAGCCAGCAATGGATACAATTTTGCTACTTACTCTAACAGAAGACCTCAATATGTGGAGGCACTTCTGAACTGACAGGTTGCAAGACTTATCAGGAGTTGGCTGAGTGTGAGTGGTGAGTATGAGAATCTGCTCAAACATGTGTACTGATTAAAAATAACATTTATAATAAGTAATATGTATAAGTAATAAGAAATAATGTTGGATTAAAAATCTGCATAAAAACATATATATTAAATTGAATAAAGTGTTTACTTGTAAATTCTCAGAAGATTATTGAATATAATAGACACCTAAAGAAAGCTGGAGAGTAAAGATGCCAAAATGTTATCAGTAAAACAACCAAGATGAAGATATTAGTTCAAATAATAATAAAGATAATTCTTCTTCTCAGAAATTCAAACAAAAAAGCAATCATTACAAACAATTTTTACAAGAAAAAAAAGGAATTAAATCATTTGTTTTTTTGTAATTATTATAATTTTATGAGGAGGTGCTGAAAAGTCTTCAGCCTAACCGAGAAAGGAATGAACTACAGCCATGAAGCATGTTCTTCCATATATTCACCCTGAAATTCAACATGCTTGACATATCATTTCACAAATATCTTTAACCATTCTAAAAAAATTCTGAGTTTTGGTCATTGTAATATTGCTGCTGCTGTCACTGAATCATTCAAAATCTTTTTCCATTTTAAACTCATTTTAAGATCTGGAAACAAGATAGAGTTAATCAGAATATGAGATCTGATTAGTAGAGTGAATTTTCTACTCATTTAAATATCAAATTCTCCAAAATATCCATCATCTTACCAGCTCTGTGAGTAGAGGCTTTATCCTGCAAAAAGAGAACACCATTCTGTAATTTCTCTTGCTGTTTTCCTTGTAATGGCTCAGCACAGCAAATTAGAGTAGTATTTTGCATAAACTGTTTTGCTCTTTTGAAGATTATCAGGCATGAATATAGCTTCCCTATCTCAAAAAAGTGTGACCATAACTTTCTTGTCAGCATTTGAGCTCAGAGTTTTTCCAAGCTGTGGAGGTCCTGAGTCCCACATTGTACAGACTGTTTGGTCTCCAGATCATAATGGTATAATCATGTTATATCAACAGTGACATTTTATCCTAAAAGATTACCATTAGATCACTGAAGATGCTGCAAAGTCAATTTGCAGATGTCCACACAATATAATTTCTCGCCTATATTCAAATATTTTTTTAGCATTCACTTGTCTGACAACTTCTATATTCACCTAATTGTTCATTAATTATAAACCCAGTGCATTCACTGGATATCTCTAGTTTTTCAACTATTTTTTTTGGTTGAGATTTGTCAATCAGACAAAATTAGATCATGAATGGGATCAAGAATTTCAAGAGTTGACACTGTTGAAGACCAGACCTCCTTGACTGTGCTGCATCTTGGGTCTCAAAATCTACTTGCTAAAAGTTGGCCTACCACTTCTGCACAGATGAATATAACAGGCACTTGTCATCTAATGTTTGCATCATGCACTCATGCTTTTCATTTGAAGTTTTCCTATGCAGAAAAAAATGAACTTGGTGGTGGTCCAAAGGTGAACACTTGAAAATCCCAGATTGTCTGTTGACAAAACTCAGTAAATGATTTGAAACAAATTAAAAAATAAGCACAAAGGTCCTACAAATTGGCTTTTTACAATATAAATGAATTCTCTTTACACTGACAAAATAACAATCATATTTTCAGGAGTGGTTTGAGATAAAACTCTTCAGAACATCCTCAATTTCCTCATGTGATATTAATGGCAGATAATAGCATAGTGTAGGGACATTATTATTATAAATAAAAATAAAAATGAAAATTATAAATAAAATAAAACAGTAACATAAAATCTTTGTATAAAATAAATTAAATAAAAAATAAAAATAATAAAAATTCTCCCAACATGCAACAGAAACTGTTCCTGTCGGAAAAT